TTTTAAGGCTTGATGAATTATCTACAGATGTTATGTATACATGTTAATAATATTAATAATACTAATGATAACGATCACGATGATTACCACGATGCTGATAATGGTGGTAATGTGATGGTAATGGTAATGGTCATGTGGATGATGAAGATGATGATGATGATCATGAGGATGATGAAGATGATGATGATTATGATGATGGTAATGTTGATGATGCTAATAATGACGTGGATAAAAATAATTACGATAATAATAACAACAATAACGATAATAATAGGCGCGGGAGTGAGTGAACCGAGGCGTGGACCGAGCGACGACTCGATACCGTGGATCGATCGCGATCTTCGTGATCTAGATCACGTCGAGAGTATCGGGAAAATGGACAGATCTTGCAGGATCTATTCTAGATGCGAGAGGAATCGAAAAATACGTGGATTTTTGAGTTCTTGATCTTTGAGTCTTCATGATTTTGTGAATTCTATAAGAGTTCCAATTATAATTTAATATTCATTGTTTTATTTGATCGTTGATAAAGCTTCTAATCTTCATTAATTCCGTAGAAATAAGAATCTATCTTCCTTTTATTCTGAATATAAAGACTTCATTGAATATTTCTGCACGATCTCCGGAAAACGAAACTTTCTTTTGATTGTTCAACGATTTCCTCGCAGAGAATCGGTACTGCGAGATCGTTTATCGTTTCCCGATACCACGACGCGCGATCCAACGGGTGAAACGGTGTTCCCGAAGTTTCTCTCGTCGCCCATCCGAAACGGATCCGATTAATGAGAGACGGTCATCGAAACACCGTGATTTTTCAGGCAGATCGAGGAAGTCGTCGGTGGTTTCCTTTCCATTCGTTTCATTCGAGTTTACTTCCTGTTTTCGTCGGTAGTCCTCTGGACGAACGTGTTCGAGCATTTATCGAGCCCCTTTCTCCGCGTATGAGTCATTAACGAAACGATTTACACATTTTCGAGTTGTTCCGTTTAAATTATCCATTTCTGGATCCTCCCTTCACGAACGTTGATTAAAGAATTAAACAATGGAACTTAATCAGTTTGCGTTAATCTATACAATTGCATTGATTATGTATTCGTTTAATGATCGAACGTGACGCAAAGGTCAGATGTTACTTAACGATACTCTCAGAATTTCTGTGACCATTTTGTTTCTTCAGTTTCCCTTTTCCCTGGCGAATACGCGAAGAAAGGTGCACGCGAATTGTTGACTTGAATAAAAAGAGAAAAAAATATGAAATATTAAAACGGGAAGCATTGTTGATCATTCGTAAGGGTTAGGGTGGGGGGAATGAGCATTCAACGTCTCGAGCATCCGCAAAACCGGGAACCACTGCGTTCGCGGTGGCGATCGGACACACACAGCGTTTTAACGAATTATCTCGAAACAGCTCTGTAAACGTCATGCGATACCATTCGACCGTCGAGGCGTTAATTATTTAACGACGATTATGATCATAATTATACCGCTTTCAAATATTGTACAGTGTCGAATAAAAATTACAGTGCGTAGTCAGAAAAATAAACCGGAAGAGAATCACTGGACCGTGGTCGAAAGACGGAAAATCGCGCGAGAAGAGAAGGAAACAATAGATACGATACGAAAGCCTTCTTTTACGTTTCGAACGATGATTTTTCTTTGAATATTCATCAACGCGTTCGGTCTTCGACGTTTGATTTTCGTTTGAACGTTCATTTCTCTTCACCCTCGTGCACTGTTTCGGCAATTATCGAAAACGACGTTAGATTCACGAAGAAAAGCTCAGTTATAAGAAAACGAAAAAAATATTCAAAAAAGAAGAACGCGATCGAGAGGTTGATTCGAAACGGTGCACGAGGGCTGGAAAATATCGCCGAGCGAGGTGAACTCGGCGAAATTCATCTTGGTCACGATCGTGGCCGGAAAAGTATATCGAAAAGAGGGGTTCGATCGTCTCGACCCTGAGAAAAACGAAACGCTTCTTTACGCCCACGCAGAAGAGGATCCGTTTAGAACCCTAGCGTATACTTGATACTAATAGGAGGTAAGAACGCCAAATCTCTCTTTTTTTCTTCCCTCGAATCAACCTTTCCCTATCGACCGAATAGTTCCTCCTTCCCACTTTCAGAGAATCATTGATAGAAAACTGATTCTTCGTGTCCTCGCCGATACATTCCTCGGAATAACTTCCAACAGGGCAATAAACGGGGGAAAAGCGTGTCAATTGGTGGAAACGTAATCCAAAAAGTGGTCCCTTTTATTCCGCACACGTCCGACGCCCGCATCGATCGACACCAACGAGCAGACAGATACATAACTCATCCTTTGCTCCAGTTCCATTTTCGCTCGAGACCAGACTGTGCCTATAAAACTGAAACAACCCTCCGTTTCATTCTCCGGTAGCTCCTCTCGCATCGACTCCCCGAAACCACCGACAATCGAATTTAATCAGTTCCGTTGACTTTATTAAAATTCATCTCGTGATTCCGCGCACACCCGAAACGGATCCCCGAATTTCACTATCCCAGATTTTCGCGAGAGTCACCGTAAAATCGTAATTACAAGTTCTCCCTTGAAACTCATTACCGCGCAAGTCTCTGTACACCGTCCCCGTTCGACCAATTTCATTGTCCCAGATTCGCGAGAATCATCAAAGACAGAAAACGAATTCCCCGATGGGAGCGAAGAAGGCTGACGCACGATCAACGCTGTATCTTGCTAATCCGACGATAATTTCTCTTTTCCAGCGAAATTCATGCCAGAATCGGCGCCACCGCCGCCGCCGCCGTACGCTTATCCACCCCCGGGCATACCACAACAGGTACCGCCTGCTGCTCCACCTGCCCAGCCCAGCGCAGGTGGCGGCGGCGGCTCGGGCGGTTCCGCACCCGCGGCACTGGTCGGCAATCCGGACGGTGCGCGCAGCGTGATGTAAATCGGGCCGTGGCCACCGAGACACTACAAATTTTCCAAACGTAAACTCGTCGAGCGAATAACTCAAGGAAACTCAAACGGAGAGAGCGAGGGAAAGAGCGAAGAACATCGAGCGAAGAAAACAAAAGGGAAAAACGAGCACGACCGCTGGAGTTATCAGCGTCCTATCCCCGATTAATCCTGCAACTAATAGATCTCTTCTCGATCACACGCGAGATAACTTAGAAGGGAGTCGAACGTCTAATTTCAACGGAATAAACGTTTCACGGTTTTAGGGGACGATCGACGGTCGCCGACGCGTTGACCGCGCCGATCGCGATTACCGGGGATCGAGCGAGATCCAACGGTGATCCTCGAAGCGTCTCGAAGCCAGGTCCAGGGGATGCGAGCTAGTTCCTTTGAGCGGTTAACGCGTTAGTGAAATCTTGATTAGACACAGGAACCCCTTGAAGCGAACAATCGGTGTCTGAGGCGCGAGAGTTGTCCTTTGGAATGGTGGATAGGATAGGAAGATTAGCGAACGTCAATTCCAATTGGCAAGAGTGTACTCTAATTGCTGATACGTCTCATAAGGAACGAACATCGGAAGCCTAAGTTGTTGAATATTGAGCTTGTCCGAGGAAATCAACGGATTCTTTAAAGACTCATTCAAAAGTCTTTGAAGAGGTTTGACTTTCTTTCCTGAAAGTCTTTAGGGATCTGGTAAAGAGGTTTAAGGGATGAAAGGTACTATTTCCGCGCGTCAGTCGTCGAATGTTCTGCCAGAAGGGGTTCCAAAGGAAGATGTCCGACCGTTTCGATCGTTATCTATTGAGCCACCGTAACGTTTATTCCAATGCAACGGTAGAATTAAGATGATAATCAACGAGCGCGATCCTCGTCGCTCGCAGATTCCTCGTAGTTTCCCCTAGTAGGAGAGAAAGAGAAAGAGAGAGAGACGGTCGAAAACATGAGAGAACCCGAGAGAGAGAGAGAGAGGAACGATGAGATTTTTCTGCGCGCAAGCGTGTTTACAGACACACGCATGTACATGTACATAAATTACTACGAAATTGTCGATGTAAGATTAAACTATGCATATATATATTATATATATATATATAAATAATGTAACTTATAAATAACAATTTAGAGGAGAAGCGAAACGAAGAAGAGGCACGATACAGAGAGAAAGGGAAACGAGGAAGAGAGTGAGAGAGAGAAAGGGGGAGAGAAAGTGTGGGAGAGAAAGAGAGAGATTGTTAGCTAATTTTTTTCTTATCGTTCACTTATTGTATAACAGGTTCACGCGGGATTTCTGATTGTTGTTGTCGTTGTTGGATCATTTCCGCGTCGAATGTCTTAGGTTCCAATGATCTCACATTGACCCACGACCCCCCTACACTGCGCCGGCCCTGTTTTCGCGATAATTTAGCTGTAGCTAGTAATTAACGTTCTCGCACCGTTTTAGAACGTGGACTTCACTACCTCACGTGTTTCAGTCTCCTTCGAAACGAGAAAAAGATAGCGTAAAATGACTGGATTCTTCGCGGAATTCTCGATTTCTTGTTTGCAACCTGTAAAATATTTTCATTTGCGAGCGTGCACCGCCATATTTATTGTTTGATCGCGTGTAGAAGATAGATCAATTGACCAAACCTATTAGATTACGTTCAGACTTCACGTTTGCCAGGCTTCCGAGTCGCATCGAACAATTCAGAGCGGCCGGTAATGCGATTTTGCAATTATTTCCTTGGCCTAATTACAAATCTGACGATTGATGCCCGCTTTTTCCCCGCGAAACGGAGGAAAACGATCGACGAGCCGTTGAAGCAGCGTCTCGTTGGAAAATCGAGTTCAGCGAAGGAGATCATATTGTTACATATTACTTCATCTGTGTAAAAAGAACACTAATATTAATTTTCTCGTGTAGAGAAAGCAGAGGATCGAAGAATCGTTCAAACAATCGAACGGAGATTTCCAGAGGGTTGAAATGAAACGAGAAATAGAAAATGAATCCCTTCGCTACCTTATTTGTGTAACAATGATATTCATTTCTGTCGGGATACCCGGATCACACGAAAACCGAAATAATCGATCTCTCGAGACGACGTCCTTGCTCAAACTGCAACCGAATAATGTCTCCCTACACCACCACCCACCTCCGGAACAATGAAACCCTCCCTTTTTCTCCAAAACGCTTACTGTATGTCCACGAATCGATTACAAGAGTAAAGAACAATTAAAACAAACCAAACGAAGAAGATAAACAAGCAAAAATCATTACTTAAGATGTTTGTAAGTACGACGAGAATAATTATGCGTAAGACGGCTTCACCACATAGGCAGTTAATTATCGTAATTATTACGAGTACGAATAATAACCGCGATAATTGGTTGAGTTTTTGAGCGTCATACGATTCGCTGATTGTGGAATCTATGTTCATCTAGGTGATGATTATGTCTTAGACATTACTGTATATTAGCCTTAAATAAATACAATTATGGAAAAGATCAACTTTTTGTACTTTCTCCGTTGCCTTTCCTTATCTGCTCCACTTATAAGGTCAGACATTCGAATTTTATATTTAAGAGGGGAAAATAAGATTTAATAGTTTATGTATTATGATGAAGAAACACGATCTCCTTTTTTTAAATAGAATTTTATTATTGGAAGACGCGGGGCTACATTTAGCCCCGTTACGTCCCTGATATCGATCATGAAGGAACGAACGTAGCGCCGTCTGTCTACGGATTCTTTCAGTTGTCGACCATTTGTAAACATGCCTCCGGTGAGTTTTTAGTCCACGGATAAATCAAGAATAATTAAAGATTGTGTATAGATTTATTAAAAATTTTATGAACAAATGAAAGCTCGTACCTTAAGGATTAATAATGATGTGATTATGTCGGTATTTTCGGAATGATTACGATGATTTCGTCGGATGACAAACGACCGACATAAGGATCGCTCCAGTGGCTAGCACATGTTGGAAGATAGACTACTTCTTTGTGAAAAGCTTTACAATATGGTAAATCGTTTGTTTTTCAGGCCGTCGCGAAGAAGTCTAAAGGGCCCACGCCCAAAAAACAGACCCTCCGGGGCAAGGGTCAAAAGAAAAAGGTTTCCCTTAAGTTCACTATTGACTGTACACATCCTGCTGAGGACAACATTATGGATGTAGCCAATTTTGTAAGTATTCTTTTAATATCAAATGCTCGCTATTTGGATTCATTATTTCCTTTTGAGTATTATGAAATTGTCGTGTATTATTTTCCTACTTTATTTGTATTGTTCTAACCTGAAAGTCTGTTGTCGGATTCAGCGTACAGTGTTTAACTACTGTTGTCTATTATTACAGGAAAAGTACCTGCAGGAAAGGATCAAGGTTGGAGGCAAGACGAACAACTTTGGCAACAATATCACATTGGAACGTGACAAGATGAAGTTGTCGGTTAATAGTGATATCGACTTCTCCAAGCGGTGGGTATTGGCGTGTACTTTGGTGAGCCAAGACTGGGCATGTACTGGATCTTCATGAAGAGATCCAGTATGAGTCCAGTTGTTTAAATATGATAAGCAGATTGCATTTATAATATGGAAGTAAATTCGGATTAAGATTACTCTCAATAAGACGACCGATATTTGCACTAATTTGATAAACATGTTCCTATAGGTACCTTAAGTATTTGACAAAAAAATATCTAAAGAAGAACAAATTGCGTGATTGGCTTCGTGTAGTGTCTGAAGACAAAGAAACTTACGAACTGAGGTACTTCCAGATTAACAGCCAGGAAGATGACGATGAAGAAGATGCGGAATAAACATTTGTTTCCATTCTATACAAATTTACAGAAACGTCTGTACATATTTCTATTAATAAATGATTGAAAAACTTAAGTTGAACTTGTTCAAGTAAAGAAAGAATATGATGATCGTTCGTCTGTCCTTTAAAAAGTTAGTTATATATAATTGGGTAGTGAGAACATTTCTAACCAATCAATTAGTGAGCAAAGAACAGACCTTGTCTAGCTAAACAGTCGATAAATAATGATAGGTGCTTGCTGAAAGTTATATTTTAATAATCATGATAAATTGCACGTCTCGCAAGAACGTAGAAACAAACTGTCAAATTTATCATTATGAATGCATCTAGAATTCCCCTTGCAGATACAAAAACATGCGTCACCTGACGCGTAGTAATAAAAAACATAAGTCACTCTTTATCATTGACAGTGCCGTATTTCCCAAAGGTTCCGTAGCTCCCTGTCATGCATTACGCAAGAACTCGTACTATTGGTCCAATCGTATTTATTACTCTTACCAATTCCTTGAACAACAACAACATTTTCAAGAACAAACCGAATATTCAAAACTACGTATAAAACATTTACTCAACAAAGTAGATAAACCTTGCTCCAATAATTCTTGCCCCTAAAAACTAAGGGACCTACAGTCATAACGGCAAGAATTATTCAATCAACATGCATCCACATTTCCTCTACAATGATCCTTCTCTCTGTAACATAATATCCTCGCCAAATAACCTTAAAATTATCCTCTCAATCTAACATTATCAATTGAAATAAATTTATAAAATAATAAAGCGATACTAGAAAATTCTGTTAATTCATGGCCCGAGGTCCACAGATCACGGCACTGGCTTATCTATCAAACACATCTGAAAGCCATTCTTCTCTCATCAAGCAGACATTGCGATAACGGCTAGTAGCACATTCTAGAAGCGTTAGTGAGTGTTCGAACGCTATCATCGAACCCGGACACTCGATTTCCATCGGGTTTTTCGTCGAAAGTCGAGGGACTATTTCTCGTTGGCGCAGAGTGCGAGGGAGAAGCGGAACCAAGGAGAGAGAGAGAGAAGAAGAGCGGAAGGATATATCGTGTTGCGCAGACGAACTGACGCACGGTGATTGTTGTGACAGAAGTGTAGAAGAGTATAGTGTCGTCGTCTATTCCAGTTCGGAGTCAGCAAAATCCGCGTGAATCAATCGAGAGGGAAAGGGACCGACGGGAAACGGCACAGAGGAGGAACGGGCCGTTTAAATTAGTTACTCGTGCCGTCGCGCGAGAACAATGAAGTTTCATTATAAGGAGGGGCACCCTTTCGAAAAGAGGAAGGCCGAGGGTGAAAAAATACGACGAAAATATCCGGACAGGGTCCCTGTGAGTACACCTCGTCCAGAAAACAGAAATCATTTATCCGCGGATCGATAAGAGCCAATCCCCGTAACGCTGGATAGCAACCTCTCCGATCGTGGAAGAGACATGTAATCGACATCGTTTAACGCGAATCATTGGATGAGTTTAATTTGTCGCGGAGCTGATTCGATCGTGTATTCTCAGAATTTCATGGCCTGGAATGGTCCAAGGTCGCCTTTCTACGTCGCATTTCGCCCCGTAATTTTCAGACCATTGTGGTTTTTCTTTTTCCCAATTCACGACCCAATCGAACTGCTCCAATCGAGGAGGAATTTCTTTTGTGCGTTTCCCTCTGCCTCTCGAGTCTGTTGATCACCCGACGACCCTCAGCACTATTAATTTACCCGATTGATAAACGCGAGAGCACCGATCGACTTCCTCTTTTCCATTTTCCGCGTGATCATCGTCCCACCGCGTACCATTGGGAGAGATTTCGTGCCAGTTGGTGGAACGATCCGACCAGAAAAAATGTCGACCAGCTGTTCTTACTTCAGAGACTTGGATAAGTGTCAATGCGCACATATTATGAATCTCGAGATTCGAAACTCGTTTCATGATCTTGACGTTTGGCCAAGGTTTTTAGTATTTTTTAGGGTTTTTTCAACGAATTGATCGATTACAGCGATGATCCGCGTTTTTCTGTGGAAATACGAGATCGGGATAGGGATGGGTTTAATCGTTTGTTTTCTTTTGATCGGGAAAACCTTGGACCTTGGATAATTATGATTTTTTTGTAATCTGATTTGGCAATGTATCCTTGAAGAGGTTTTGATGTCTGTTTCGCAGGTGATCGTTGAGAAAGCGCCTAAAGCTAAAATTAGTGATTTGGACAAACAAAAGTTCTTAGTACCATGTGATTTGACCGTTGGACAATTTTACTTTTTAATCCGGAAGCGAATTCATCTTCGTCCAGAAGATGCCCTCTTCTTCTTTGTTAACAATATTATTCCACCAACCAGTGCCACTATGGGTTCTCTTTATGGGGTAATTATATGATATGTAATATTGAATTTAAGACATACGTAATACGTACGTGTATTTTATTGTGATCTTAATTCCTTTAGGAACATCACGAAGAAGACTACTATATGTATATAGCGTACAGCGATGAGAATGTGTATGGACATTAAATCACAATAAAGAAGACATCAAAAGAAAAGAGCGGACAACAAAAATTTGCTATAAATATTGTAGTCCTCTTAGAAGCTTTCGGAAGTGTGAACAAAATTATGTTTGTTAAATCTGTTTTTAACTGAAGTTTCGAATCTTAGCACTGCACATACTGAACTAAATTTGTTTCCTTGAGATAAATTCAGTTTATTTGCTGTCGATAATAAGGATGTCTTACTTTCTGTTTCCATCACTTGCCGCTGGCTAATGAAACTTAGGGTCATAGAAACTAAGAAAAACTAATCAGAGCTGAGTTATATGATCTCGTGTCATGCCTAGCCTGATAATGAAAAAAAAGGAACAAAAAAACTTGAAAATTATTAGAAAGATATACTTTACAACATGAGGAGTGACTAACTTCACTGTTGCTAAACATATTATTGACATACATAATGATCATAGAAAAATAATTACTAATACTTTAAAACCATGAAAAATTTGTAATTCAATGTAGATGTTTTATGTGATATTTTCTTTTATTTAGCCTAGTATTAATTCTATGTTCATGATTTATACTTAATCAATTATAAAGAAATGGAAAGGAGTTGATGAACATTATGGCAAGGTGAAAATTTCTTGTAATGCCTGGATGTGGGCCAATAAAAAAATATAAAAAGCGAATCTTGGAAGTGTACAGTTTCCTATCCCTTGTTGCATGAAGCTACGATTTCAGTATACTAGAGGAAAATGGTTGAAAGTCTGTGTTGTGCATAATTAATGTGTTTTGGTCATGGTCTATCTATTTTTAACTTGTTTTGCTCATGCCACAAGAATGGAGCACTACCTAGTTAAAGGTATTGCTTTGTTGAAGAAAGTTCCCTTCTAACATGGAAGTAGGAAGTAACGAAACAAATATTACAGCTAGTTCAGTCAAAGATGCAGATGTTATTTCTGTGTATAAACTCAATCAAGAAGACAGTAACTGGATAGTAACAAATTCGTTTATAATCTTCACTATGCAAACGGGTAATATCACTGTCAAATAGTACTTTAAAAACAGTGAACTACATTTCTTAACTTATTCAGGTTTCGGTATGTTAGAGTCTGGTTGTGTGTCTTTAAAGAATGAAGTTAATATTATGATGAAGAACGTAGTAGACATTGTGCTTGGAGGATTAACTTATTGGCTATTTGGCTTTGCAACAAGTTTTGGACCAAGTACATATAATTCCTTTATTGGCTTCGGAGAATTTCTAATAGATCCTCCAATTAGTGATCATCTAATGGGTCCAAAATGTGCTGCATTTATATTTCAACTAAGCTTCGCAACCACTTCAACAACTATTGTCAGTGGAGCTATGGCAGAACGGTGATTAACAATTTAAAAAACTAGTGTACTTTATTTTTACACTGTGTAATTACAGATGTAATTTCAAAGCATACTGTCTATTTTCTTTTTTGAATACTATTGTGTATTGTATACCAGCTGGATGGGTGTGGGGTGACCAAGGTTTTTTAAAGAACATGGGTTCTGTTGACATTGCTGGATCAGGAGTGGTGCATCTTGTTGGGGGTAGTTCTGGTAGATATTTCTTAATTCTCTTCATATAATCTATTAGTTGTACACTTTAAATACTGTTTCATTGTAGCACTTGCTTGTGCCATTATGTTAGGACCACGATTAGGCAGATATGATAATGGAACTGACCCATTACCTCTTGGAAATCCTGTTAATGCTATTATGGGTTTATTTGTACTTTGGTAATGAGGAATTAATGTTTAGAGATTTAAATTCATTATACTAATAAATAATACTTCTATAAGGTGGGGCTGGTTAGCTTTTAACAGTGGTAGTACGTATGGTGTCAGTGGGCAACGATGGCAGTATGCTGCTAGAGCAGCAGTATCTACAATGCTAGGAAGCATGGGAGGAGGTTTAATTGGACTAGGTTTTAGTTTAGCTAATCCAAGTGGAATTGATATTCTCAGTCAGATAAATGGTATTCTTGGTTCCCTAGTTGCTGTAACAGGTGAATTCTACTGAATTAATAACTTATGAACAATGGAAAAAATTCATTATTGTAATATCATTTTTACAATGTCAGTTAGGTGGCTGTTTCCTTTTCAGGGCTTGGGAAGCTATAATTGTTGGAATGGTTGGTGCTTTCATTACATGTTCCTTAATGCCCCTACTAGATAAAATGCATATTGATGATCCTGTTGGAGCCAGTGCAACACATGGTGTTACTTTCATTCAATATTCATTATTTCAAACGTTATTTAATTCTCATTCTAATAATGTCTTTTTATGCAGGAGCGAGCGGAATTTGGGGGATCATTGCTATTGGTTTGTTTGCAGATAATCCATATCCTCTTGACACTACTAATGGAAGAAAGGGCTTATTTAAGGGTTTGTGAAATTAATATATACTTTTACATAAACTTTAAAAAAAATGCTTGCTTTTATAGGGGGAGGATGGTACTTATTAGGTGTGCAGTGCCTAACTGTTCTATGCTTAATATTATGGAGCTTTATCACTTCCATTATTTTATTATGGGTAAATTCTATTAAATATTATTCAATATCTACTGTATACTGCTTTAATTCCATCTGTTGCTTAATTGATGTAGTACTGTTCCTTCTAGGTCATAAATAAAATTATACCTATTAGAATGAGTGTGCATGATGAACTACTTGGAGCAGATTTAATGGAACATCGAATACGACACATGCAGGTTTATATTTAAAATACAAAATAGGACTTGATCATGCTCGGGAAATAATATTGATTGTACAACGTATCATCTTTGTATCTTTAGATAGGTGTTAGTAGAGCTATGTCTGCACTTCGTCCAGATTCTCAAGAACACAAATTGGGAACTGTGTATCCGGTAGGAATAAATCCTGGTAAGATACATTGATAGAGGAGATGATAGGCTCAAATAATTATGTTAATTCATTTACGACAGGTCATGATTCCTATATTGAAAAATATAATCGCAAAAATCGTTTAAAAGCGGGTAAACAATTGCCCCTTGGGAAAATATCATCAAAGACACGTCAGTCTAATACAGTTACAGATACAACAGTAACTGGTCAGAACAAACCACATTTTGCTTGGATGAATTGATATTTTCAAACGCCTTCTAACAATTTATCGAATGTAAATTTATTAGAAACGTATAAATGTATTCACATACACGTTCTAACGCTGCTTTCACACATTACTGAAACACGTACAGTGTATACACACATTCTTCGATAAATAATCAAAATCTTATGCAATTACGTACATAATAGTTACACACACCAGAATAAAAGAGAGCAAATCTGTTCAGAGATCACAGACACAGTAAATACATGTTATACAATATTTATATATTAAAAGAGTGTTTAACAGCATGGCACACGTAAGGAAGTTACCTTTATTATAGTTCTGTTTCAAATAAAATAATTCTGTGAATAGTACTTTGTCTTTTATAGTTATTATGGACGTAATGTTGGACGTTTTATCATGCTGTCATTAGCAATAATTAATCTTCAATGATAGTATCGATAGATAATCACAAAATAAATTTCATCTATCTTATACGATACTCTTGAACATTAAATCTATTTACAAGTTCATGATAAGACGTGTATAGTAAATGCAAACGATGATATTGTCTGTAAAAACATGTTACATAATAGGTATAGTAACTTTTAGAAAATAGTTGACATTACTCCAATGCTTAACTAGTAGTTTCAGTACATGTAAAAACATATACCGTTGAAGTAAACACGCACACTAAAACATTTGTACAAAATACAACATAGGAAACTGAATTCCGCCTTCTCTAATAAATAGTTGTAGCAAAACGAATTTTCAATATGGAATAAAACTTTTTGCTACTTTCTAGCACTGATACTTTCCATAAAAAATTGATGAAAAGTATCTAATGATTGCTAGTAAAATACTTTGCTAAAATTACAGATGACTGATGCATTAGTCATGCAACTATCAATGATCTCTGTAATTTCATGCATAAATTGTCGTTATTATACGCTGCTCAAAGCCCATTGAGAGACTTCTGTTGGTATCCCAGGATAATTTTTTATAGCTTCCATAACTTGCTGTGACGTCAGTAAAAATTTATAATACTGATATTCTTTTTCAACTTTTGAATGTATACCGCTCACCGGTATTATGATTTCCAAGTTCTGTGAAAGTTTTATCTGTGACTAGATTGCTCAAATCTCATGATAGAACGCTGTTCTATTTCTTACCTTAATGTGCTCAAAAGCTTTCATGATAACAGGCCTTTGCACACTTTGTATGGATGAATTCTGATTGACAAATTTAATGTAACGATTATATACTGCCTCAAAATTCAATGGTTCCCCATCATAAATTTCTGTTTCATGTTTCATTGCTATTATCTAAAATAATGGAACAATTAGGATACACTTCTCTGCCAAAAGCAAGAGCAGAAAAATACACTTACTAAACATATTTCTAAAACAGACAATCCCTCGAGCATCAGGACTTTATCATCTTGAGAAAATATTTTACTAGCTTCTACAAAATCGTTTACTTCCAATCTCTGATGTTTCTCTGACAATGTTGACACAGCAACTGCCAGAAAATTTCTGAAACTTCTTTCACTTGTATCCATCTGATACATCCTCTTTAACAGATTGACCATAGTTGCATTAGTGACTAAACTTTTTATATAATCATTCCACATAGAGCCAAATTGTGGATCTATTGTACAATCATCATACTGTTGTTCTATCCTATTTACATTCTCATCATCTGGAAGACTAAGAAGATGTTGGAAGAGTTCTAAACGATCATCAAAAGCAGATGTTGGCTGCTCAGAAGATGATGTATCACCAGGGAACAAAAATATCTGGCGATGAGAAAATCTTGATTTTACCCTTTTTTCTAGAAGTTCTATAACATCTAATCTACAAGTCATTCCTATTACACATATCGGAGCCTGAAGAGGAAAATATTTATTTAAATACAGACTAGAATATAAAGTGGATTATTTATTTTTATACTTACTTGAGCAGATTGAGCAATATCGAATAGATTATAGAGTAAAGTCTGATTATGATGTTCACAAAATAAATCAAACTCATCCAATATAAAAATAACTGGTTTTGAACGTTTCTTATCTCCTGATTTTAAGCAGTCAAGCAAAAAAGCCAAATTCTCAGCGAATGTACCAAAAACTTTGTCCCCTACCACATTTTCTAATTGCATTTGACGAGTTGCATCTTTCAGTGCTAAACGGTCATCAGTATGAACAAGGCCATGAAGGTTTACTATCAAGGCATTATCTTTGAAACTTTTTATCGATGATAATTCTTTTAGAACACTATTAATTAACTACAACAATTAAGATTTATATGTATAAATGATAGAAATATTTAAGCAGAAATTTGAAATAAAAGGAAACATACTGTTGTCTTTCCACTGCCTCTAGGACCAATTAACAAAGCAGAATTACTTTCTCCCATGTCAACTGTTCGTTTCAATAATTCCAAAACATGCATACGCTCTTTCACATGATGTCTAAACTTTGTTTCTGGACACATGATTTTACGTTTTAAATACTTCCTTGTCAACAATATCATATTATCTTGAAAGTCAATGGCCATATTCTTTTTCTTATTCATACTGTTCTCCTCCTAAAAAGTTTATAATTTTTTTTTGTATATTATAAATAGGTTTTAATATAAATATATTGGATAATTATTGGCCGATTTGATCTTTCTCATAAATGTAGTCATTGTTGATTCACAAAGTAATCATTTTGATAGCTTACACATATTACAGATTGATGATTTTGTACGGTCATATTAAACTATAATTTGATGAGCGTTTAGCGTCTCTGATTAGCCAAACATAACCTACAAAGAATAAAAGAAAACGTATGCAATACCTTGAAAACGTTTTTGCTTGAAGATATAATCCACTTAATTAGTCTCAGTATTGGTTGAATGAATAGAAAACTGAAACGTATAATCTCAGAAATTCTAAAATAATCGAGAAATTTTAAATCTTCGGTTATAAAAGCGTTAGGGTCGGGTTGTTTACAAAACAAGTATGGAAGACGCAGAATCCAAAACGGACAAGAAAAATTGTACGTTTTTATTTAAAAGAAGAAAGATTCGAAGCACTGCAGCTCGAAAACGTAAAGGAGGAAGTGATGAAGACGGTAATTACACACATGGAATTCGCAATGTTTCGCTCTTACTTAAATAGACTATAATTTCATTAGATAAATTTGATTAGTAACCTGTTTAGGTTATACCTGTTACTTATAAAATTTAATACATATTTTATATTTAGACAGTAGCGAGGATGAAACTACAGTGGTTAAAAAGGAGAGGAAACACGATGGTAACAATCCTATGAAACAAAGTGTAAGTTACAGAAATTTTAATACATCAACAGATACATGTGTTGACAAACAATATGGTATCATTTGTACTGAAGAAACATTCATATGTTAGTGAACGTGAAAAGTTTTGTAAATACAGTCTTTTACAGACTAACACAAAAAGGTTGAAAGATCAAGAAAAAGATATTGACAATGATACTAGTGAAGATGAAAGCATCACAGTTTCATACAAAAGTACACGAACCCCTATGCCAGCTGGGCCAAGCGATCAAGGAGCAACAGCAATTTTAGAAACAGAAACTGAAAAGGACAAAGATGCTCAAGCTATATTTGAGAAGGCTCAAAAGATAAATGAGGTATTTACATACATAGTAAGACAAATGAAAGATAATCAAGTTTAATATATTACCATTATTTCTAGGAACTTGAAGGAAAGGAAGATGATAAAATTTATAGGGGTATAAATAACTATGCTCAATATTATAAGAAAAAGGACACAGCTGCTGGAAATGCTTCCAGTGGTATGGTACGTAAAGGACCAATTCGAGCACCAGCTAATTTAAGGGCAACAGTTAGATGGGATTACCAACCAGATATTTGCAAGGACTATAAGGAAACTGGCTTTTGTGGTTTTGGAGGTAAGAGACTGGAAAAAGACTGACAATATTTTATGTATCATTAACATTTCATATACTCATTTTAATTTCCAGATAGTTGTAAGTTCCTTCACGATCGTTCAGACTATAAGTTAGGGTGGCAATTAGAAAGGGAAGCAGCTACAGGAGAATACAACAACAGTGGAGACGAGGATGATAAAAAATATGAAATTCATAGCGACGATGAAAATCTTCCATTCAAATGTTTTATTTGCCGAAACAGCTTCACCGACCCCGTTGTTACAAAGTCTGTATAATCTTGATAGCCTCGGAGGCGGACATTTATTTAAAACAATCAATTAAACACAATTAATTTTCCTTTCAGATGTAAACATTATTTTTGTGAGAAATGTGCGTTAGAGCATTACAGAAAGAGTACTAGATGTTACATCTGTAATGTCCAAACCAATGGTGTGTTTAATCCAGCCAAAGAGTTAATTGCACGAACAAAAATGGAAGAAAGGGGGAGGGAAAATGAGGAAGATGTCGACGAGTCCTCTGATGACGAATAAACCAGATATTTTATACACAAACAAGTTACTTTCTACCAAGACCCTACTTCACTGTAAACCAACCCTTATATTCCTTCATCAAAGAAGAATGATATTAAACTTTCCATCAGGCATCAAGCAATAATACCAAAATCCACAAAAATCTTTTCCCACAATGAATCAATAAAAAAAAGCAGGTTATTTAAATTCAAACTACCTTAATTGTAAAATACTCCCCAGAATTCTCGAAAACCAAACAAATCTTAACATTCGGACATTCAGCTCCATCAATTATTAACGAAAACAAAAAAAGAAAACAACTCCTACATAAATCAGCTTCCCTAAAAGTGCACAAAGGAATCAAAAACTAGCAAACTCTGAAAGCTCCGTCAGCCGCCGCGCGGTACGCGGGTCGACAACCCTCTCCGACAAAAGGTCTAGATTTGGAAGATCCCGCCTATGAGCCGTTCCACAAACACTCGTCGACTTGACGTCGCATCGGAAGCCCCGGTTGGAGGGTACAGCACGCCGGCGCTCACTATATAGGACGAAGGTGATTCTAACGGCTCCGTAGTTGTGTTCCCTGAATCGATACACGCGCAGTGTTGTTCGCCCCGCGCTATGAAAATGTTGCCGAGCCGTTCGTTTTTCACGGGCATACGGCGAGTGGCTGGAACCGGGCCACGAACGTTGTCGCACCAGCATTCCGTCGCCGCAGCTCGGGCCGACGAATAAAAGGAAGGAAAGAACAGGGGGAAAATAAAGGAAAGTGGGAGACGCTCGAGGAGGTGTCGCGTGTGGCGGTGCGCGGCTGGAAATTCGAGGGTCCTCGCGTACCACATCCATCCACGCCTTCCCCTTCATCGATTTCCGAGGAGGCACGGACGCGCGCAAAACCCCCGCCGCCTGGTGCAACGTGATCGTCGCTCGCACGGACATGAACCGAACGTGAAAGTGTTCGATCCTCGTCGACCGTGGTCGCGACCGAACCGATTAACAACCTCAGTGCCTCGAGGAATCGGCAGGGGTGGTAGCCACCGGGTTGCTCGGTTAAAGGGAGGAACCAAACTCGTGTTAACGGTGTGTGCGTCTTAATCGAATTACTATCAATCCGGGTGTGATATTCTATTACTACTATTGATATTTTGCTGGTGAAAATTCGTACAATCAAGAATTCCCCCTGGATACACTGAAGAATGTGATAATGTTAAAGTGTTCTCCGAGTGGATTTCCGGTAGCGCTAACGGCTCCGGTGATATGCACCGTGCCACCGCGATACGGAAACCGTTTTCCGTAGTAACACGACTGCGGCTTGATTTCGATCGTGTAATCGGTAATGCCGATGATCGACGCGCTCCCTCCCAGGTGTTCTCCGATCATTAACGAGACGTCTGTACGACTCGCCGTGAACAGTGCACCAACGGAAGAGACATTCAGAAGGTGTTTACGTTTCACGAGAATCTTTTATTAACCAGGTGAGTCGATAATCCTCTAACAAGATTAATACCGAATGAATTATATTCGTGTTTGTTCAACCATGTTCTTTCTCAATCGTCTGCATCTTAATTGCCGCGTAATAATAATAATAATAATAATAATAATAATAATAATAATAATAATAATAATAATAATAATAGCAGCAGCAGCAGCAGTAAAGCGTATGCAGTTTTCAAGCGAACCAGTTCTTAACGAAGACGATGCATACGTGTGCATGAATAATTGCACGATGCAAAACACGGGAGAACGATGTTGGCCCGGCCAATAGGCGAATATGTATTTTCCCCTGTTATTTAGTCCGGTTACGAGGCGCGAGTCCGCGCAGCAGGTTATTTTAAAAGCGACACCCGGCCGTCGCCCGTTGAAATCCAGACGCGACGGACAATGCGCGCCGGGAGTCGCCTCCGCTGTCTCCTAATTAGCGATAATCACCGATTAAATACGGTTATCGTTACGCTGTGCACAGACGTGGACGCGATTGTCGGTCGCGGCGCACGTAACCGCCCGTAGTTTCGATTGGCATTAGAGGCTGCGAGAACTGCCGCTTG